CAGATTTGTTCTTTTTGCTTAGTCTGTCTTTGGCTATGCAGGCTCGTTTTGGTTTCATATATATTTTAGGATTCTTTTTACTACTTCTTTGAAGAATGATGGTGGTATTTTTATGGGAACTACATTGAATTTGTAGATTGCTTTTGGCAGTATAGTCATTTTTAAAATATTGACCCTACCCAACCATGAGCATGGAATGTTTCCATTTGTTTATATCATCTATGATTTCTTTCAGCAGTGTTTTGTAGTTTTCCTTGTAGAGTTCTTTCACATCTTTGGTTAGGTATATTCCTAAGTATTTTATTTTATTTTATTTTATTGCAGCTATTGTGAAAGGGGTTGAATTCTTGATTTGATTCTCAGCTTGGTCACTATTGGTGTATAGCAGAGCTACTAAGTTGTGTACATTAATTTTGTGTCCTGAAACTTTGCTGAATTCATTTACCAGTTATAGGAGCTTTTTGGATGAGTCTTTAGGATTTCCTAGGTATACAGTCATATCATGAGCAAACAGCGACACTTTGACTTCCTCTTTACCGATTTGGAGCCCCCATTTTCTTTCTGTTGTCTGATTGCTCTTCCTAGGACTTCCAGTGCTATGTTGAATGGAAGTGGTGAAAGTGGGCATCCTTGTCCTGTTCCAGTTCTTAGGGAGAATGCTTTCAACTCTTCTCATTCACTATAATGTTCGCTGTGGGTTTGTTGTAGATGGCTTTTATTACTTTAAGGTATGTCCTTTCTATGCTAATTTTGCTAAGGATTTTAATCACCAAGGGATGTTGGGATTTTGTTAAATGCTTTTTCTGCATCTGTTGAGATGATCATATGAGTTTTGTTTTTAATTCTGTTAATGTGGTGTATCATGTTTATTGATTTACATATGTTAAGCTATCCCTGCATCCCTAGTATGAAACTGAAGATTTTTAAAATCGATTTTATGTAATGGGGATGAGTTTACATGAGTTCATTCACACTCACTTACTTAATTGCCATTGTAACAAATTCCACAGATTTTCAGATGATTGGTTAAGGGTTTGGATGCAACTGTGAAATAAGTGAAAAAAGTAAGGTTGAGTCTTGATTCTTAGCTTTCTTAAGGGTAGAAAAAACACTGCAGATGATCTTAGAAGAAATTCTGAGGTCAAGACTCTTTTCATCATTGATCTATTCTTTGATGAGTACAGAAGGAGAAATTTAGCAGGAGAAATAACAACATAGTTATCTCAGCAATATATATTATAATCCATGCTAATTTTTTCATTTGTCCTCAGGACAAATGGAAACTTTTGTTTTATTTTTAGAATTTTAAATGTCTCACCTATTACCTGCTAACATTTACTGCAGTGTGGTTTCGCATAAAGACAAATGCAGATTTATGGCATTCCCTCGGAGTATAGAGGAATTGTAATATTTTGCTATACCAAATGCATGCATCCAGGCAAGATCTATGCTAAGTGGTATGTTCAAGTTTGCAACAGTGGTTGTGATTCAAATATGTTCATATTATAACAAGAATGGCTGTAGCTCATAAAGGTGGGCTCTACAGTTGTTTGGCAATTTATTATCATTTATGTTGCTAGCACACAATAATTTCTGAGTTAGTTAGGGATGTGTAACATATTTTTCTTCTGTTTTGGAGGCTGGGAAATGAGGTATGAGACTGAATTCCTACTTTGGGGCAGTTATTGAAGAATCTTTTGAGTCCTGTCTTCTAGTTCTGTTTTTTTTTGTTTGTTTTTTTTGTTGTTTTTTGTTTGTTTGTTTTTCCTCTCTCTACTCCTTCCAAACTTTCTAAATCATTTCTTCAATGTGTTCATGTCTGAAGTTACTATCTCAGGATACTGCAACTATCCCAGTCCTTTGTCTTTCTGAAGAATGAAAGTAAATTGACAGACTTTTACCCATGGGATTTTTGGCTATTTTTAAAAGGTAGACTTTATATCTGAATTATTCAAATTAAAAGTATTCTTGCAGGAGGTAGCCTGAATCTAATGGGTTGTAGGTTCTTAGTACAAACACCCCTTCTCCTGCCATTAAATTTTACTAACTTTCTGCTTCATGTCAGTTTCTATGAAAATTTAAGAATTTATTTTCTCTCATTTAGGTACTCTTGCTGTTTTGATTCCAAAGGAATGCTGCCTATTCTGACAAGTGAAACTAATGTTAAGCAAATTTTCCATAAGTTTTAAATCCTACTTTGTCTTTGTTCTGTACTCTTAAGATAAAAGCCATCAGTTGAAATATTTACAAAGCTGGAAAACTGGATTTACAGAATGGACATTATTTTTCAAATTGGTTTTTGAAAGTTGTCTTCTTACACTAGAGGTAGCAAGGGCCAGATTACAGTAGGACATAAAGCCAACCAGTTTCAACAAGCTTCCCCTTCCATGTACAAATTTTAAAAGAATGGGTCCTCATGAAAGCATTTCAAATCCAGAGACAAATTTGAAAAAAATTGCTACAACATGTTGACTGATTCCTTGCCAAGTCAGGCGCTGAGAACTTTTTCTTGATTGACTTACACAGAGAATTAGAGCCGCATAGGGGAAACGTGTAACTTTGTTATTAAAAAAACTAAACTTTACAATACCCTTAAATCCCTCTCCCTCTTAAATTTTTCTGTTCTACTTGTAATCCCCCTCTTCTTCTGCCTCATCTTTTACCCCTCCTGCCTTTTCCTTGTTCTCTTTCTTCTAATCATTCTCTGTTATATACTCTGTTGCTCTAATGTATTCATTTTTACTTTTAATGTTGAAACAATGATATGTTATGGAGAAATAGCTTTCTAAAGATTATATTCAGATATACAGATTCAAAGAAGGATAAAAGTTAAAAATGTTTTTAAAATATGCCTGTCAGCAGTGGAAAGAAAGCTGTTTGTAGCCAGCAGGTGAGCTGGAAAGTACTATAAGGTGTGGTAGAGATAGTAATAAATTAACTGGCAAGCCAAAAACTGTAAAAAAAAAAAAAAAAAAAAAAAAAAAAAAAGCTATTTCATAGCATAGAAGCATGACAGCTATGAAAAAAGGTGTGCCCCAGGGAATTCTTTTAGAGTTTGATTTTTTTAAAAATATGTTTGACATGAAAAATGTTTTAGTACAAATAAAGCAACTGGTATTAAACTTACAGGGAGGGTGGTTGTGGTTTAGAGTTAGTATGAATAATGCATGATATTTAAAGAAAGAACAGCTCTAAAACGTTCCAGGAGGCAGTCCATGTCAATGGTTAGAATGGTGATTTTTTTCCCCTATTTTTGAAGCATCATTAATTCAGCATCGTTTTGTGATTTTTTAAAACTTGTATCTACCAAATAATTACTATTTGACTTAGATTAGGTTATTCTTCCTTCAGATAATTTAGTTTAAATATCAAGAAGATCAGTAGAATTATTTAAGCATAAAGTGACAGTCATTTACTATAAAAAATAATTTGGCCTAGTTATCTTTTTTAAAAAGCCCATATAGTACTGCAAACCAAAATCAACCTCATGGAAGGAGAAAAACAAGATCAGATATTTTGAACATTACTCCGTAGGAGACCAGCACAATATAGTGTTAGTGAATGCATTGTAGCAGCGCTCCATATGCAATCAGAAGCCAATTGTTACTGGACTGTGTACAAGCACACACTGTGCTCAATGGTCTGATGAGGTATTATGGATATGATGCAAAGAGACTGTGTAGATTAGAAGCTAACAGTTTGTTAAAAGTGAAAGCAACTGAACATTTACATTGGGCCAGCTGAGTAGCATTTCATATGGCAAGCAGGATGAGTTCCCAGGAACCAGAGTCACCAGGAAAGCTCCAGGTGTTAGTGTCCATACCCCCACCCCCAAAAAAAGTTTTCTTGCTTTCCAATTGACTACCTTTATTACTGAGATTCTTTCTAGTCTATCTATTCATTATTACATTCAGCTTTCAGTGTGGAAAGTTCATGCAAAACAGCATGATTATTATAAATGTCAAAAATGTGTGGAGGAACAGGCTATTAAAATATAGCCTAGAGATAGTACATAACACTGACTTTAAATAAGTAGCTGAAGCCAAAGTGATACTGCATTAAATCACTGATATTGTGAAATTTATCCATACGTACTAATTTTTATTTCAGTTACCACCATCATGATATGTTCCTCCTTACTTTATTTTAGCTCTTCAGGTTACTGCACACAGTTCTTAGGTCACAGAAGGTACTTCCATGTCCCTTTTTAGGAATGATCTGGAGTTAGAAACACATTAAGATATGGCGTTCATCTTTGCTGAACCATACTCAATCTTTACCAGGCGTTTAGTACAGATATTCCATGTAAAATGTGTGGTTATTTAATCAAAGCATCATCAAAATATGTCTGATAAGTGCTTAGTATGCATGATTCTTTACTAGGATCCACCAGTTCAGTACCAGAGGTTAATCCAGACAAACATGGTTTCTACACTTAGGGGGATACCAGACATTTCACAGAATACTGGAAGATAAGATTAGCTGTCCTCTTGGTCCTATCATATTGAAGAGGTTGTGTTTTTTAATTTTTAAACTTGTTTAATAAATAAAGTTTAGAATTATGAGCAGTCAATAGCTCAGAGCCCTTTTTGCACTCTAATACTCTGCCTTGCCTACCAAGCCAAAACTTTTTGTTGTTCTAATATAAAAGCCTCAATGCTTTCCCAGTGTATTGAGTGTCAGCCTGGCTTTAAGATATTTTTTTTACTCTTAAAAAATGATGTATTACAAGATTCGTAATGGAGTGAACATGCTTGAATTGCACATTTAATTTTTTTAACATCACATTCATGTTTTGCCAGTTTGCCTACCAGCTATCTGTTAACAAAAGTTCCAAGGCAGCACTGCAAGTCTGTGCCCAACTAAGCCTTTTGTTTCTGCAGATGTTTGGGCTTAGAGCAATGTTGTAAAGCTCAGGCAATCCAAGGACCATGTTTGTACTTGTCTGCTGCAATTCCCTGTGCATTGTCTAAACCTGTATGCATTGTTCTTTCCGACAGGTGATAACTACCCCGTACAGTTCATTCCATCAACAATGGCAGCTGCTGCTGCTTCTGGACTCAGCCCTTTACAGCTCCAGGTAAGTGCCAGAAGAAAAAAATGTGGGATATGAGCCAGTACTTTAGTGGAAAACTGCTAACCAGCTGTATGCTAAATAATGGCCTGAATGTTAAATAATTTTTTAAGCATAGCCCAAAAGGATTAACACCTTATGTGCTTACCATAATGCAAATAGAAGAGAAAACTGCCAGTTTCAATATTTTTAAAGGAAAAAAATCACATTATGACTTAATACTATGTATTCTCTATCAGATAAGTGAATAGTTTTACAATTTCAATGGCTAGTTGTTACTGCATACACGTTAGGTTTTTCCTTGTCAGTTTTTCATCTATGTCTCCACTTATGTCCAGATTAGCTTTTACATATAAAAATTGAAACAAAAAATGGTGTTGGATATTTTCTCCTTCTTGTGGCTCATAAAATAAGGGATTGTTATTCTCAAATTACATGATAATTATTTTGTAAATTGTGAATGCATTGCTCCTTAATATGTGTATCCTCATCCTTTCTAGGGTCAAAAGTCAGGGCATGGTGTCTTATAAATTTTGCATTGGTGTTTCTTATTTATAAAGCTAAACTTGGGGGGAAAGTGTTTTGGAAACTGATTGAAAAATCATTTACACCTTATCTTCTTCACAGTAAAGTGAGTTTGGAATAGGAATAGGTGGTCATTATACCCTTCTACTACTACCACTTGAATGGGAGGTTGACTTTGAATATGAATGTTTATTTGTATTAATAAAAACAAAAGGCTGAGATCATTAAAATAAGTCAAACATTCAGTATATGGATATTTAGAGAATATAAGATAATCAACAACTTGATTTCAATATAGTAGAAAGTTTTATTAAAGATAGTTTTCATTCGTAAAATATACTGTAATTATTTTTGAGTTTTCTTAAATAATCTACAAAATAGCATCTGGTGAAGCATTTTTATTTTCATGTTACTAATCTCTATGTGACTTGAACATAAAAAGTGTACAACTATTGTCCCATGAAAAAACATCATTTTGAATGTTTCCAATTGGATCTGCAAATAAAGAATTTTTGCAACACTTTCAGAAATTTTGTCATGAGTCATGATCCAGGAAGTCATAAAGATGTAACCCATTAAGGGCTGTGTAGCAGAGCTAGAAATTTTGCCTAAGAGTAGCAGCAACCTCACCTCTCTTGCAAACCTTCACCTTTCACACTACTAATACTGAAACCTACTATAGTTGGTGCAAGTCTAAAAAGAACCCTCACTATTATAAACCTAATTTATTTCTTCTTTTCCTATAGCTGTGCTATTGAGTATCTTCTTGAGTCAGAGGCAGAAACAAGAAATCAGTGCCACTGTTTGATACTATAACCAAATTTCTGTAAAAGAAAGAAACTGAGTCTTAAACTTTCTACTTTCTATTTTTTGATGTGGTCAATACCCTGGATTTAGAAACATGTATTCTGTTTCATGAGTTCTGACAGTATGTTTTGTCTTTTTTTTTTTTTTTTTCTGAATATGCTACTAAACAGAAGGGTCATGTCTCCCACCCACAAATTAACCCAAGGCTAAAGGGCCTAAGTGACCGTTTTGGCAGGAATTTGGACACCTTTGAACATGGTGGTGGCCACTCTTACAACCACAAACAGATTGAGGTATGAATGCTTCCATTGGTGCTTCGTTGGGCTGGGGACTGGATTGTTCAGTCATACTCTAGGCTTTTTTAAAAAAAAAAAAAAAATGTGGCAAACACTCAACCTAAACACAAAACTTAATCTTTCCCTTTTTCTCATTCTTAAGGAGGCTCTTCTTTTGCTCCTTTTCTTTCAGAGAATAAAGCAAATCCCAAAGCAAAGCCCCTGAATTAAGGTTGTTCTTTGCCATATCTATTCAGGCAAAAGCTTTACATTTTAAGTGTCTTCAAAACCATCTTTCTCTCCTCACTCTTTTATCTTTTCTTATGTATAGTATTGTATAGTATTTCTTTTTTTTTTTTTTTTTTTTTTTTTTGTGACGGAGTCTCACTCTGTCACCCAGGCTGGAGTGCAGTGGCCCGATCTCAGCTCACTGCAAGCTCCGCCTCCCGGGTTCACGCCATTCTCCCGCGTCAGTCTCCGAGTAGCTGGGACTACAGGCGCCCGCCACCACGCCCGGCTAGTTTTTTGTATTTTTAGTAGAGACAGGGTTTTACCATGTTAGCCAGGATGGTCTCGATCTCCTGACCTTGTGATCCACCCGCCTCGGCCTCCCAAAGTGCTGGGATTACAGGCTTGAGCCACCAAGCCCGGCCTGTATAGTATTTTTTAAAAATACTTAAACATTAAAAAATTATTTGAGCGTAGAATAACTCTGTAAATTTGATCAAATATAATTCTGCTTGTATAGATAAAACAGCTGAGGTTTGGAGAGGTCAAGTTATTTAACCAAGGCTATAAAATATTCATTGAGTCAAGGTTATTGCCCAGGATTTCTAATTCTACATACTCAGTTTTCTCAGAATGAAGTAGGGGTGGGTGCCTGGGCCTGCATGGTTGCTTTTTCCCAGACAAACTTCTGCAGTATTCTTTTCACATTTCACCTTCCAGTAGAGTCCTTTGTTGTTTTGTTGGGATATTCTTACCACTTGAGAGAAGATGGCTTATGAAAACCAAGACCTTTTCTTCTACAGGAACCCAGTCCTCCTCTCTTCAATTTCATGCTTAATTCCCTTTTCTGCATCACTGGGGTCCCTCACTGGGACTATCATATTGGAGAATTTCCAGCTACCTGTTGAATTTTTAAAAAGTGGATACAGTTTACCTCAAACTGAAACACACTTTAATTCTCTGGGTTAGATATAATAGAAAATTTTATATTCTAACCTAGGATGGGAAACTCAATCCAAAAATGAAAATAATTGCATCTAGCAAGATGTACATTTAGATTTTGATGGCCCTGCTGGTCTGTATAGTTCAAACACTATGTAGTCAATAAAAGGTCCCTTTGACATTACCTTTTCTGCTGCTTGTGAATTTACCTTTTTGAAAAATTATAGGGAATGATTACTCCTAAGAAGAAGGAAGAGAGAAGACCAAAGACCCCCTTGGAAGTAGCCTAAGGTAGAATTCCAGAGCTTGTTAGCTGCCTCCCTCTTTTCTTTTGCTTTGACATAAGAGGTAGACAGGGGTTTCCACTCAGACATAATTAGACACAGACTATCAGAGTATCTCCTGTCTTCTATACAGACAAAAGAAATTTCTAAGGCTGTCTTTTGGCTGTAGAGTGAGTACCACATTTCTAGGCATTCTGACAATCTACTATGCCTAGGAGAGCTAAAAAGAGATGACTGGACATTAGGAACAAGTTTATATGTGTGATGACAATTAGCAAGCTTATCTACTTAGGACAGTGATCTTGAGAAGCTTTTAAATGCCTGGAAGAATGAGAAATCAGGTAGCCTTGGCTCAAACTGAAGAGTTCCTGTCCTGCTGGACTTTTCTGTTTCCTCTCCTGGTGGACTTTTCTTTCTCTCCTATTGGACTTTCCTGTTGGACTTTTTGTTGGATTTTCTGTTGAGGTGTTGTGTTCTATCCCATCAATCTTCCCTTAGCCAGGTTTCTACCCAGTCTTTTCTTTTGCTTAATTTTTCACTTAGATCGGCTTCTTTCCCACCCCCCACTCCCAACCCCCACACCATCACCGATCCCTGATGTATCAAATCTGGCTTCTGTTGGGTTTCTGGAAACCATAATGTCATACATATGAGTGCCAGAGCTGTGTAGTGCCCTAGTGATGCTGATCTAGAAGCACAACATATGTCACGTGTCTATCACTTTAATTAGGCTAAACAAGGAAACTATTAATTCAAGAGCCTTCATAGCTTTGCAGTTTAAATTTGGATGCTTTGATAGTTTCCTCAGTTTTTATTTACTCTTGCTGTGTTCTATTGCCTCCTATTTTTGCACCTTTTTCCTGCATGTCAGGAAACCTTTGATCTATTTGCTTATGTGGACACTGGTTAGAAAAGATCAACCTTGTTTAAAAGGCAGATTTCCCAAACTTTCCTAGTATGAGTGTAGCATGTTTATTGGGACTTCCGTGAATAGCATAGTAGACGCCCATATCTAAGCTGCTAGATAGTAACATTCTAAATCTTGAGCAAGGGTAGAGGGATATTTTAATAATATATTGGTTTATTGCTATTAAAATCTGCTTTCTTTTCTAGCTAGGGTCTTCTCCCCTCCTTTGACAAGCTAAAATGTCACAGTTCTGTCAACAAACATGATCTTGATAAAGTATTGCTACTTAGAAAACATTACAACAATATTAACTGGTTTTATTTCTAAACAGATATTCTTAGGAGGAAAAGCTTTTAACACATATACACCCCCACCCCACTGCATGTGTTACTCAGAACTGGTGCTCTCTACTTCATGTTACAGTTAATTTGTCCTTCAAAGGTTGTCATTTCTAAAATTAATGAGGCTGGGTAAATCTTAAAAACATTTGGTATATATTAAGTATACCCTGAAATTGTGTTACCAAGTAGAGACAAGTTATTTAAAATGGAAAGACTCTCCTTATATTAGCATATGCCATTACTTTCTTTCTTTAAAATAAGGAAGATTCCGTAAAGATCAGTTTTTAAAATACTACTGTGCTGATCTAAGGCTTGATTTTCTCTGCCTCAGGGGCACAATATTAGGAGAAAGAAGGCCAAAGAGTGCTATTTTTAGTTGAACAGTTCAGCAGATGCAGGCATGAATACTCATATATCTGAAGGTTGAGGGGTTTGAACCATTAATTGTGATAATGTATTTAACCCTGGGAACAATCAGAAACTGCAACTCTAAGGTTACAATGCTTTTGACCTTTAGAGAACAGAGGGCACTTGCTACAGTAAACAATATATTATGTTGCTGCTTATTCCAATTCTCTCACCCATATAAATTTCAGGACCAGTTGCCATTTGCTTTTTTCAGCTATGTTAGCATTGGTCCTTAAGTAAGTCAAAAAGAATGTTAAGGAAAGGGAACCAGTATAATGAGGCAGTCATGTAAATTTAGCCTTTAAATAGCAATGATGTTAGATTGTTTCTGAAGAAATATTGTCGTGGGAACTAAGCTCTGGATGACTTTTTTTTTTTTTTTAATGAAAAAGGGGCTTCAGTGTATTTATTCATTTATATGGTTACTTTCAATATGATAGATCCTTAATTTTGTTTTGTTTTGTTTTGTTTTTAATGGGGAGTAGTGTTGCCTCATAGTTGTAGCTTACATTAAACAAAATCTGGTACCATATGCAAAGTGATCCACCTGCCTCATGCCTTCTTATTAAATGATGCATGCTTCTCTTTAGCAAATACAGCAGTTAAATATCACACAGCTTAAGAATTTCTAATTAAAATATCTCCGTGTGTCAGCGTATTGGTAATGTATTATTTTAATCCATTTATTTTGTTTATGAAACAGTGACATATGTTTAGATTGTGAAATATATGAGCCTTAAAAATCACTTTATTGAAGAAAATTAATTCCTACAATACTGTCTCGGTAATGTGTTCACTCACCCAGTCAGTCACTGGCGGCACTGCCAGTCTTAATGTTGGGTAGACATCAAGACTTACCAGTTACATCCACGTGACAGTCTTGGAAAGAAGCATATCAGTTCTTTTTCTTAGCATCAGATAATAGGGTTATTCTTTTCTTACTATTTTTTTCTTATTAATTCAAACCTGCTCCCCCCAAAACACTTTTCTTGCCTTTTTAAAAAAATACAATGAAGGATGGGGCTGAGTATATGTATAAGGGATTGTGAAAGACCAATCAAAATTAAAACAAGCTAGTTACCTTTTCAAAGTTATAGACATAGTAATTTGTTTGTCAGCAGGAAGATGTTTGGGTCAGCCCTGAGATAAAGTGACTGTCAGCAGTTATTCCTCCAAGACGAGTAATTTCACTCAATGTATTACTGACAGATTGCTCACTTCTCTGAATCACCAGAGAAAACAAACTTAATATTGTTGCAGGCAGAGTTTCTGTCTTCATTAGCTTCAGGGAATGATTTTTATCTAGCATTCAAAGTTCACCAAGCTTTAGTTGGAACATATTTTAACATACTAGTTCTTATTACGATAGTATGTATAGTAGCCTGAATGAAAGAATTGTATATGAAAATTTAAAAATATCAATATAAATATATTTTCACTGTTATTTGATGAGTATTATGTGTAGTTTAGGGGAGATTTGAGGAAAGGAATATAGTTAGAGTCTTAAAGCACTAAGAAAACCTATCAACCATAGTTATTCTTAAATGAAACTACTGAAGTCTTGCCAAGTTTGCAAAGATGGAGGAGAACAATTGAAGTTTTTGCAAAAGTGAGTACAAGCACGTATTTTATTTAAATGATATTGTCAATTTTTGTTCTACAAATTGAAAGTAAAGAAGTGCCCATCAGCATTGAGAATGCTGTATTTCTATTTCTTTTGCAGCCTGAGTCTTTATGGTGTCGTATTTAGAGGCTCTGCACTGTCTGTTGTACCCTGTCTTCTTATCTGCAGTTGCAAAGATGCCTCAGTGCTGTGGGGGAATGGGAGGGTGATTGAGTTAGCTTTGCTGGGCAGTCCTGGAAAGTTGCAATTTCTAATAGAGAAGAGGGTTGAATAAATAGTTGATT